AACCTTTCGGCCGGCGGGCCTGTCCCGTGGTCCCGGCCGGCCCCGACCGGCTCCGGGCTTGCAGAGAGATGGTGAAATATATTAAGTTGGAAATCAGTCTAGGCGCAGGGGGTTGAATGTCGTCCCACGTCCCCAGAGGGAAATTGGCTGATGCACGGGGGTTTAATGGTATCTGTTATCTGAATGCAGGGCCAAACTTACTACTGGGTGTGTTTGGAGCTGACGGAAGAAAGGTCTGACCAGGGACTTAGATCTACTGGCTTCCTTGCTAGGAAAGGTTACTGCAGCCCACCTACCTGATCAATGTTTTTCAGCAAATTAATAAAACTTGTTTCTTCCTAAAGCTGATCAAAAATACATTCTTTCAAAAAGCAATCTCACCTTACAGGCACCAGGAAGTACTAACTCTGTGCTTGCCTTGGTAAGTCATTCCACTGTGAAAGCATCTTTGTTGTTAGGAAATCATGTTCTGCTTCAAAGCTGAATTTATGAAACTTTAGCCTATAGCCAGTGGATTTCGGCTGTGCTTTTGCTGACAAGTTTGCTGGTCCCATTTTCAAACATCTTGCCTTGTTAACTAGCACACATCTTGTTTTTTGTTAACTGGTCAGGATTCCTCTCAGCTTTCTGTTAAAGTGAGTTCTGTAACCTTTGCACTGTGGCATTGGAGATCTCCGGATTTCTCCAGTAGCTCTTTCTGATTTCTCCCTTGTGTTTTCCTATCTTGTCAAAAGGGAAGAGGATGAATATCAGAGCTGGATATGGTTTTCTCGCTCTATTCTTACGAGTTGAATTCAAAACCAAAACCGCTTCCTGCTTTAGGCCTGACTCGTCCGTTTTTCTGCATCCCAGAGTCACCTTGACCATTTTGCCATGCCATACCACACCACTCCTCTGAAAACTTATGTTGGGCTGATTACAACAGGCAGTAAATATCAGTGTTTTCTAAGCTAGAGCTTCGTCCTGTACCTAGAGCTTGTGTTTTTCAAATTTCAGATATATGGTGTTGCATCTAGCAGTATTCTCTTGGAGTTCAGCTCTATATCCACATGATCCAGATCACGCTTTGGCAAGGAAAACAGTGGTTACTGGCTGTTTTATTTGTCTTGGTACCAGGAGTATTCCGTATAGTTGTCTTTAAGGTATTTTGCTACTTTTTCCTTTTCATTGTGAAAATCAGTTTGGAGAAGCCTTTGGGGGAAACAGGGCATGTGGAGAAGACTGCTAGTTACTTAGAAATAAGTATTTGCTCATAAAGAAACATCCTCATTGTTTTGCTTACTTTTATTTGGGCACAATCTCCCTGAGGAATTTTGTGTACATGAACATTCTCATGATGACTTTTTTTTTTTTAATCATTCTTTCTTGCATTTGAGCAGAGAATGCCAACAGACAACAACCACCGGCCAGTCAATATCCAAGAACAAGACCTTGTTATCACTGCAAGCAATAATTGCCTGCATAATGCTGAAGATTTGGGAGTTGAACAAGAAAATGACTTTTGTAGCGATGACTGGGATAATAGTCTCGGAGCTCCCAACTCTGCTAATCAGCCATCCACTTCTATGGCTGCTCCTTTGGAGGTACCCAGAAGAGGACAACCCCTCTTACATATCAACAGGCAGCAGATTCAATCTATTTCATATAGTGCTCAGGCTGCTGAGCTAAAAGGTTTAGGAGTTGATGTCTATGATCAGGATGTATTGGAGCAAGGAGTCCTTCGGCAAGTAGATAATGCTATTAACGAAGCTAACAAAGCAACAAAAATAGCTGATGCAGAGAAAGAATATCAGTCAGTGCTGGATGACTTGAGGTAAGTTTTGTGTACTTTCTTACTGTTCCTTTCTATTAATGGTATCCAAAGATGTTTAGTGTCTCAGATTTTTAAAAGCTGGAGGAGGAAAAGATGTTTTGCAATCACTAGATCATGTTTCCTGTCCTGAGTCACCTACCTTTTTTAAAAAAAAAAAAAAAAAAGGGGAGAGAGAAACAAGTGAATGAATGTGCTTCATATCAGATCAGTGAAGCATTGGTGTTACTTGACTCAGCCATCCAGCCGGACAATAGAGACATAAGGGATAGAGCGTGGCTTCTTTCTCCGCTTTGTCTACTGCCTTACCAAGGTTCATGTCTCTTTTCTGGGCAGTTCAGAACTGCATTGTACTCCATCATTCAAAGTTGTATTCAGAAAAAGTGCTATTTTTCACGTTCTGTAGGCTTCATATGGTTATCTGCTTCTGGTTATGTGCTTTATGTGACTTGGCTGGCTCCATATCATCAGTGTACTATAATCAGAACAATCTAACCACAAGTTCTGTACAAAGCACTTGAAAGAATCAAATGTTTAACTGGGTGTGTTGTCAGTAGAAGACTTCAAGGGGTAGGAGTCACAAGTCTGAATTTTGATCTTAGGTCCTCCTTTCTGCTTCTAATTTCTTTTTAGAATTACCGTGTGAACTAATACAGGCAAATAATTCTCCTTGTGCTTCTGTTTCACTGTACTGCATTAATGCTGCTTTTTAGTGCTCAAGAATACCTTACGCCTCCAGTACCTCTGTCAGCTCCTGCATGGCTCTCTTCTTATGTATATACTTAATTTTGTGCACTTGATTAATTTTCCAGTTTGCATGAGGAGATGTGAGATTAAGTAAGTTTGCAAAACTGGAGCCTAATTTCAGATGTTATGTACCTGCAAGGAGGTAAAGAGTAGATAGTCGCTGAGAGGAAGAGTGGAGTAATGAAACCATTGCAATTAGATTATGTAGTCATTCAAATAGAGGTGCACAGCACTGTGGATTAGTTGATATTTTTCCTGTTTTTATTTTAAAAATATCCTATGATCTTTTTTCTTACCTCTCTATTTTCACCGTCCACTTACAGTCTTAAAAAGGGATTTACATGTGGAGGTGCAAATGGTTTGAGCAGACCTGTTGAACCTCTCCTACCTAAGATGCAGTGTGCAAGTTTGAAAGATGATTTTGGAGAAAACAGGCAAAGATTTAGTTGATTTGTTGAGCAGAGGGACCAGCAAAAGTAAAGATATGAGAGTAGAGTGTGATAGAGTTGATCGGAGTCCTAGAATGTTGTGAATGAATGACTGAGGGTAAAACCAGGGGAGAAGCATGGGGTTTTTTGAGTAGCTGGCACTGAGTTCATAGTAAAAGGTACATGATGAGATGACATCCACAGAAATTAAAATTGAAGAGAAGTGAAAACGATTGAAGTTAAATAAAGCATGGCGCAAGAAGACGGTAGCAATATATGGTAAGGGACTGTAGGGCCAAGGAGACAACAACCAAAAAGGTAAGAGACCTTCAAGAGAAGGATGTACTTTAAAGAGCAAAAAAGAAGCCTGAGAAAGGGGATAGAAAGGTTCAAAAGTGTTGAAAGAGAATAGACAAATCAAGGAGCAGCAAATGATACTTGGGGAGCTGGTAAAATACATCTCTTAGAAGAGCAGAGTGGTAGAATCCATATTAAAGAAAATTAGGAGTAGATTTGCAGAGAGCAAAACTGAGGAAAAGATTGTAAACTATATGTTTTTTAAACGAGCAAAAAATTTGAAGAGATAGGTGTAGTCAAATGATCCTCCCCCTGACAGCTGAAGAGACTCTGCAGTGCCGTTCTTTGCATACGGGCAGGATAATGGCTGCTTTGCAGGCGGTGTAAAGAATTGAACTCTTTTTGCATAATTTTGAAAATAGCTTCAAATTCTTTTTCTTTACTAGAGCTGAATAATACGTTACAATCTTTTTGTTTTTCAGATCATGTACGATATCTCTGAAACAAATAAATAAAATTATCGAGCAACTTTCACCTCAAGCTGCCACCAACAAAGATGTAAATCGAAAACTAGATTCTGTAAAACGGCAAAAATATAACAAGGTGATTAGATTACGTTAATTTCCTGCT